CAACACTACTCACTACACACACTCATTTGCATATATGCAAATTATATGTAAATTAGACTGTTTTCAGAGATTCTATCGCATTTTGTTGGAATCATATCTCTACTCTTCTTAGAACATTTCCTAACCATGTGCAAAGAAAATTTCGATTAAAAGAAAAAATCATAAGACCAATCAATAATATTCCCTTCATCAAACATGTTGGTAAATTTTATTCCCAATCATGTAACATTGCATAAATACACCCTGCTTCTATTTTCAAAGGTGTATTAATCATAAATATCGCATAAATGAAATGCAGTTAAATACATGGAATATGAATTCAACAATAAAAATGACATAAATAAGAATATGGTGTAATTTAATACAAATAATTCGGAAATAAACATTGTCAAAATTGACACAATCTGATCAGCAAATCTACTTGCCGCAAGCAAACTTATAACTATGAGCCTTAAACAACTCGTTAAAAATATTAGTTCAAACAAATATGGTTTTATTTCAGAAACGCTTCATAAAAGACTATATCGTACAAGTAAACTTATCGCACATTAAAAAATATTAGTTGGGGCAATAATGGATTTAATTGGAAAAAAAACGGTCCATCAACAGTTATAGTTTGAAGCACCTGTACGGGTTCAAATCTTCGGCCATCAATATTTATGTGCATTGAACTGCTAAAGAGTCTTGTTACTCCTGGTACTTTATGACAGTTTTTAGTGCAATAAGCAAATAAAACACCCTTCAAATAGAACATCAATGTTTTGTACAATGATTAGCTGGACATGGAGCAAAAAAAAAATCAATCTTCTTTTTCCGAGAAGCTTTAAGCTGTTAAATCAAACGAAGGACTATAGTACACACAAAGCTTTAGAAAAAAAGACTTTTTTATGCCTATTGTCAACATAAGCTGGCCGACAAAATGACTCCAGACGAATTGTGTTTGCAGAATGCACTGATTTATTTGTCAAAGAATTACTCCATGTTTAGTGTACACACAATTTCAGAGTATGATACTGGTAATAGAAAATGTACACAAATTATGACAAAGGCCGGAATAACAATTTGAAATCGGAGACGTTTATTCAGCACTTGAGAATCATCAAATTGGGCTCCACCAAAGAATAAAATTGCTTTTTTCCAATTTAAAATAAATTTACATAGATATCTGAGCATTTATTGAAATTTTTTGAATTTGTTTAACTTATATTTCAACAGATTTCCATTCAGTAAGTCAAGTGTGACAGAGAAAAGTGCTAATTAGACAGAAGTTTTAAACTTACACTTCAAATTGTGACAGTAGGATCAAATTCTTTCACTTGTATTTTTTTTTTAACAACAGCTTCTCAGATACCTTATAATATTTCGGTAGCCAGATAAAAATAAATAAATAAATAAATTACCGGTAATAGCTTTCACAATAACAAAAGGCCTGTATTAAGGTCACTTTTACATTTCTCTATTAACTGCTACTGTCATTTCCTTGCATACCTGTTAATACAGACCACTCTTTGATAAAGACCACTTCTTTTTTCTGAGGTTATTGCCTTATTTTTGGCCGTAGTAATTTCACGACATCTCAGGAAGCAACAGCTGATATATAAATGAAATTAAAATCAGGATTATGATATGGATATGATAATTTCTATTTATATTACGTGCATATTAACAAATAAAAATTACAGAAATAGATATACAATCGCAATCTCAGCAGTTTGTAATGACAAGATTTCTGCTGTTTCATTCGCTAAGGAAACTCATTTTTCACGCAACATATGCATTTATCACCGTATATTATAAGCTCCAACTATATTGACATTAAGATGACTATCTGCGTATCCGTTTTTCTCGAAATTTTGCCTTTGGGCCACACGCCTTTGATGTTGTTATTTACTGATAGACCTACATCACCTCCTTATTGCCCCAATGTGGTAGAGAAACGATCGAAACAGATCTTAAAAATGATTTACACGTATGTCCTTATGTGCAAAATGAATCCAAACCAATCCAGAAATGAATCAATGACTCTCCTCTATTTTTTTTCACCTGCATTTTAATATCAAACAAATATTTCTATCAATTATTTCGTTCACTTCATTTGAAGAAGTGTAATCAAAACTTGTTTGATGCGCAGACCATGGAAAACTTTTTAGATAATATATCATGGAAAAAGATGATAATAATTAACTGAATTAAAAAAAAAAATCAAGAAAAAATTAACTATATGGTAATGTGGCAAAAACCACTTATTAATATCATATAAGAGGAACTTGACACTGTATATCATTGTTGTATTTAAAAAATACCTACCAATGTCATGAAATGAATAGCTTATTTTTTTCAATCATATTTTGTAAATGTATGTGGAAATTATTTGACGTTAGTAGCTCATTTAAAGGTTCCCTTCCAATTATTTGAATGCTCGATTAAGTTTTATCACCAACTTTTATGGTCGTCATATACAACATTTATTGGGACGGAGGTCCATAATTTACGCATAAACGCAAAAATATTTTATATCCAGCAATATATACCTGGTTTTCATATTGAATGACCCCCTCAAATGATTGTCATAAAATTCCAATATATAATAATCACGTACAAATATCTAAAATAGTCACACCAACCATCGAAAAATTTGATCTTGCACTCTCGTTAAATGACTTTGAACACTAAGGACCCCTATATGTGACAAGTCATTCCCATAACTGTAATGAATAAAGAAAATGTTAACTTCTGTTTAAATATTTGGTCCGGTATCCAGTATGTTAAAGCTGTTTATAACGGTCCGAGGTATTTTCGTTTCAAAAAGTGGTCTGAAAAAAATGAATTCAGTTTACTTACAGTCAAGATGTTAACAAAACTACTATAATTATAGAAGTAATGTGGCTGAAATTTTTATTGTAAGAAGCGGCCATATTTCTATTGAGTCGAAGTTTGATCCCTAAAATTACAAGCTGTCTTTCAGATAACAATTTAAAAATTGAGTTTCTGTGTGATTGTGGTTTACGCCATGACCTTTACTTTGCTCGGACTGGAAGTGATTAGACTTACACTGTGCTGGTAATTGAAATCCCTTAACATTTGAATGGACTGTTCCAAATTCAAAATCGGGCAAATCTATTAACATGAAGGATTAAAGATCTGAAATGGAGTGATTTTGGTATCTGTTGTGTATCAGTTAATGGAATTACTAATACTCTTCTTAAGAAAGTAAAAGGTTTGGGTGGTTACTATAAATAAACATGTATCACCCGAAGATTTTTCAATATATTCCACTTAAGGTCATTCAGTGTTTATCTCTGTGAAAGGCTATCTTCAATAAAAATTTTCAAATTTCAGGAGAATAAAGGAATAAAATATCTATGATAATGGGGAATGACAAATGAGAAAATCTAATCTTTTGTTATTAAAAATTTAAAAGATTAACAGAAGTAACAAATGAAAATTGTTCAATTTCTCAAACATCTTAAAATAAAAACATGAACTTTTCAGTATGACAAATTTGTTGTCAAGAGATACGATATGAAAATTAAATCATAATAAATCTTTCAGTTTTTCAAGTACTTTCACCAAGGGGGAAAAAGCAGATCAGAACTCTGAAAACAAAATTATTCTTAATAAAAAAAAGCATCACAAGATAGATTAGAGCTCAATTCTATTAGCATATGGAAAGATAATAAAACAAGCTTAAATTATTTTTGGTGCAAGTGGAATTAAAAATATCTCTTGCTCTGCTATCTGTTAGACAGTAAAAGCCTGCAAAAGAATTTATATGATTTTCTAAGCACACTTCATACCCTGTTAATAAGTATGATGGATTTTATATCGCCATATAAAACACAGAGATGTTCTAGTTGTATTTAGTAAGCTGGTGTTTTATTTGATGTGCTTGTCTTATCAAACTTCTCTTAAATTCCCAGATATTCATCATTAATTACATCGAAATGATACTCACTGTATAGTCTGCTAACTGGTTTTAGATTTTTAGCTTAAATTATATTTCATTTGATTTTATTAATTTTCACGATCTCCTGCGAAATAAGATCTCCCTTTGAGTAGTTATTTAACTGCATGAGATCTGCTGTTAATGATCATCTTCGTAATTATATACATTTTTATTCTATGAGATTGCGTGATAGTATACCTAGGGCCCCCCATGCGAAAAACCTCACTATTTCAGAAGTGCGCTTATACAATCTTCTTTAAAGAGTAGATGCTTACGATTCCGTTTGAAATTGCAAAATGGAATTAAAACCCGTAAACCCGCCTGAAATCATATTACGATTTCTTTATAGAAACTCTCTGATATACGGAAAAAAAAAGTAAAGAAAAGGGGAGTTTACAGCTGATCATTATATCATTTTTCGAAATAGTTTTCTCATACGCAGGTCTTTAAACTTAATTACGAATATAAAAAAAATTTGTTTCAGTAATATAATGAAGCGTGCAAGTGTTTACACTATCCTTTTCAACAGTAAATGAGGCCATGGCATGTGGAGTAATCAGATACAATTATTTGTTAATTAAAAATAAGATAAGATTCCGTTTTTAATGAGATTTCTTTCTTTATCTTAAACCTGATGCTGAACAAGTGGGGAAGACATCATATCCTTATCACAGCTACATGGCTGTACGTGTGTCCATCTCAAAGAGTTTCAGAAATAGTTGTATAACTAACGAAAACTAGAAAAATCTTATTTTAGCTTCATTGACCTTGACCTTAATTACCTGACACTATACAAATAGGTGAAGTGCATGGAAGGAACCTAACTATCAAATGTCGAGGATATCATTCAATAAATAAAGGTGCTTTGCGAGTGACAGAAGAAAGCAAGGACAAACAGGCAACTTGACAAATCTTATATACATAGTGTAAAGGCTTATCTTCATTTCTGTAATCAAAATCATATTAGACAAATAGGACCAGACTCTTCTAATTCTTTTTAAATGATTCTTTAATTTCATTTCAATTTAACTTACTATATTTTGTTCTTTTTCAGAGATCACCTTCATCACAGAACAATAATTTACCTCCCTTTTCATCGCCAGACGACGCTCAGTCGACACGCTCCAATGATACTCCAGTAACTAGTCAATCTAACACAAACTCATCTCAAAATGCTGATAATAACAGTGAAGCAGGTAAGGAATTCTAAATGTATCTTCATTAATGCTAGCATTTGATTGGCTATTCTTAAACTCAATTTGAAATCAGCCAATGAAATTCCGAGTTCCTGAGAAGAGTCCAAATCTGGGTTCCGTAATTTTTCAGGGGTGGTAATTACTCATTGATCAGAACAGAATCTAAGTTTTAAATATAATTCATCAAAGGGGGGGTAATACACTCGTAAAGCATGATCTCGGACAAGATTTAAATATAATTCATGAAAGGGGAGGTAATACACTCGTAAAGCGTGATCTCGAACAAGATTCAAATATAATTTCTCAAAGGGGAGGTAATACACTCGTAAAGCATGATCTCGAACAAGATTTAAATATAATTCCTCAAAGGGGAGGTAATACACTCGTAAAGCATGATCTCGGACAAGATTTAAATATAATTCATGAAAGGGGAGGTAATACACTCGTAAAGCATGATCTCGGACAAGATTCAAATATAATTTCTCAAAGGGGAGGTAATACACTCGTAAAGCATGATCTCGGACAAGATTGAAATATAATTCCTCAAAGGGGAGGTAATACACTCGTAAAGCATGATCTCGGACAAGATTGAAATATAATTCATCAAAGGGGAGGTAATACACTCATAAAGCATGATCTAGAACAAGATTTAATAAAGATCTTTAGTGTAGATCAAAATTTTCTAAACACTAGTTTCTTTTAAAACAGTTAATATTTTGATAAAGTAGACATCTCCCTTTCATAAAAAAATCCATAATCATGAGTCAAAAATAATTCATTCGCAAATTTTAAATATTCCATACTCATTAATTTACAAAAAAAGAGAACTAAATGTTTTCTTTGTATCATACCGCAATAGCACAAAATTAAAGTCAATACAAAAATGATATTTTAAGTCAGCTGCAGTGTGGCGATAGAATAATAGAATAAAAGACGCAATGCTACAGAGATTGGACTTACGACTTGTCCCGTTTAAAAAAAATTAACTAAACGAGAATCGATTTCCAGAATAGGTACAAGAGCAGTACAGATTGATTTTTCCTTCAGGTTCATAATGAAAAAGGATGTAATTTGATACGGGGTGTTTTAGACTCCATTATTAATTTATAATGTGGTGTTTGGATGATAATATTCATAAAGAGAACAATGTTAGGTAAACCAAAGCATTGAATAGTAAGTGGTATGCAACCTTTTTGTATTGAAATTTTCACGTGTTTTTTTTTCCAATTAGAATAATTTAATGCAAGCGTATTATTAATTATACTAGTAATTAAATGTTTTATCATGTGAATATTTGTGGAGCCTATGATAGGGTGTATAACATGTTAACAATAAAGGTCATTAAGTAAAAACGCAAATACACAAAATGTAGATTGTGATTTTGGTTTTTTGTTTGTTTATACCAAAATGATGAAAATATTATCAGGGCTTCATACCAAAGCAAAGTTCTAAGAAGCTTTTTGAACATATCTTTGGAAAACTTTTTTTTTTTAAACAATACTGAATAAAGTCACATTGTGGCAAAGGTTAACTCAAACTGTGGTAAATCGTTACTGTGGTAAATCATTACTGTGGTAAATTCATTCATAAGAGATTTATTGTTTGAAAAATTAATTAAGATTATTCCATATTGCTATAATTTGTAATAAGATAAGTTATGCACATATTTATATCTCCGTTACAAATAGAAAGGCGACCTTTCCTTTAAAAAAACTTCATCAAACATATCATTAACATTATAAAAAAAAATGTTTTTTGTTACCACTTGAAATGGTTTATATCTAGTCTATCCGAAGTCATTTGAAGTATAAATATAATCCCTCTATGCCGTAACTTACAATAATTTTCCACATAACCACCCATACTGTAGCGTGCTTCAAATTTCCACTAATTGTCCATAAAACCGAAATGAAATACTTAAATTTCATCTTTAAACTTAATTATATGATAGTCTTTAAGTACATTTTGTCTAATCTTATTTCGGATAATGTCATTTCAAGTGATAATTGCATAACTTCATTACATTATTTAACATCTCTCATTTTTCTCCCCATTCTCTATTAAATATAGCACTCAAATTGGAGTGTTACACACTGTTTAATTATACATACCTTATATTGAAATTTTACTTCACATTATCAACACAGAAGAAATTATGAAGGTGGAATTTATTATGACGGTCGTTCGTAATACCGAAGTCAAGCTCAGGAGCATTACCTTTACAGACCACAGTGCCAACAGGGCCACAAGTTCAAACCCTAACCTAAGTATATGTTCCAAACCGGCAGACAACTTGCGTGTGCAAGTAGTCCAGTGTGTACACTGCTTAGGCATGTGAGTTTGACTCCCAAGTAAAATCTACTAAACTTACCTGATAGCCTTTTAAATCACACTTAAAACTGGGGGTTGAGAAGGTTTACTGTTTATTGTGTTGACCCTTGATTTCAATCTCTTCCTCCTTTTCTAGAGAAGAGTCAAGTGTAGAAGTTGTCAACAACTTGAGGGGATTATAAAGAAAGTCCTGGAGCTGTCTGCTTGCTTCGATAGCACTGAAATAATTATACAATGATATTATTTTCAAACATGTAGGGGTGAATTAAGTTCTTTAAGGCGACACATTGGTTTACCAACATATTAACATATTATGAACTGACCTTGTGTTAGCAAACTAATAGTTAATCTTGTTTAATGACTTGGATTATCCATACATAAGGAGTCATTCTACCTATAATCTACATAAAGATTTGAAAAAGCCAGTAGGTATCAACTTTAAAAGGTTATTTTAGGTCAAGATAAGACTGTTTTATTTTGGCTATACTCTAATTTGGTCAACCAGGAGTTTACAAACAATCTCACTTGAAACTTCCTCATCTATCATAAACTGTTAAGATAACAAAGGGAGATAAATTAGAGACCAAGCATGCAAGGACTTTCACTACTTGTATAAAGATTTAGGAATATGGGTGGTGGTTTGTTTACATAAAGACAAGGAAATTCTCTAACACAAGCAATGTTTACAAATTTTGGGATTCTTGATATTTTGGGTTAAAAAAACAAAACTTTTTTTTTTCTTAATCTATAAAATTATGTTCTCATACAGAACATAAAAATTAAATGAATATAATGAACTTTATATGCAGGTGCCTGCTATAGACAGGTTTCAAATCAAAATTAGGTAGGGGATTTGTTCACATCATGAAAAAACAATAAAAGAGAGCTGGGTTGGGGAATAAAAACAAATATTTGGGGGGGGGGGGGGGGGAGTAAAATTAAAATAGGGTGGTGGGGGAATGAGTTTCTTCCTGAAGTCAAGGGTTTTTACCAGCGGCATTAGATAAGGTATGTGAGACATTATAGCTCATTCTCTTGCAAATTTGACCTAGATTTAGCATTCTACACCCATTCAAACCCAAACAGAACAAGGTTTTATCATCAAACAAACAAACCCATAAGGCATTGCTGTATTGCATAGCTTGCACCATCAACATGAGAAATTGACACAATGATAGCGAAACTTGAACCTAGGTGAAACTCCTAGCAACTTTCAATGAGAATGAAAAGAATCTCTTAGGACTTTAATACCTCTGGTAAAGTTAGATACGACTGTGATTACCAAACAATTTCCCTGATAAGCAGTACCCAATACTTCATATTAAAACGTTTGGCATATGTTCCCGGCCAATGGCTTTCCAAAGCTATCTTGAGATAAGATTGTATTTTCTGCAGCAAAATTTCCCTTGCAAAACAAAATTTTCACATTTCCAAAGTTTTTATGTTGCTTTTTATTTGTCTTTTGGCATTCTTTCAGCCTTTGACATTTTCATTGCTTTGATTACTTAAACGTGCAATAGTAAAGTGTTGGTTAGAGCAATATTTAAACATGTATAAAAATAGGTTAAAAGTCTCCGATGTCATAATTGGGATATTTAATATGATATAGGACATAGTCGTAAATAGGTTACACATTTCAAACTTGGTAACCGATCCGACCGTTTGATAATGCGCTGATTGAATTTATGAATAAAATAAGCCGTCTGAGATTTGAGAAGAACATAAATACCCCACCTCCCCTATCACGCAGAGGGTTTTTATCTGTCTCAATATATCCACTATGGGCTTTTATTATGGATAAACCAGCACCCTTTCTATAGAAGCCCAACGATCCGAGCCCTCTATGCTAAATAGGCTATTGTCAAATTTTGAAGTATCATCACTATTGAAAAACTTAACAATCGAGTCAGCCATTTTATGCCATTTTTGATGGAGCAATCCTATACAAAAGCTAAAAACCAGATGTCAGTGTAAGATAATTCAACAAAGCAAATGCCTCGGAATTCATTTCCCCACTTACTATCCACCACAGTCATCGAGAAGCCATTTCAATAGCAAACCAGTCTTTGTATAAATGGGAGTATTTTTCAATTTCTGTAAAAGCAATTTAAAGCTAAATGCATTATTTACATGGGGAGGGGATTTCATTATTTCAACAAAACATTTTGCGGATCATTTTGTGCTGAATTCAGATGCAGATAATTGCTTAATGGTACGGGTCTTGAACCGAATTAAATCCGAGCTTTGTTGGTTTATTCCTTCAAACAGAAGAGCGGCGCATGTTAAATAACTTATAAATAAATATCGGTGATAAAGGGAGAATAATATTTATTCAATCTAATAAAAAACGTTAACCGTCAACGAATAACTGAATACACACTTTTAAAAAGATTAATAGGTATTCGTTCAAAAAGTGCCCTGGCACGCTGTAATTATTATGAAAAAGATACTGGTATTTATTTAACTTTGAAGTAAGATAATTTTAATATCTGTAGTAACAAGTCCATTAAAGGGAGTAACAGATAATAAAGCTAGATATCCCTGGGATCTAACATATCAATGCAAGTGAGGGGTTCTGAATTAGCGATGTTTACTTTACATTCCAACTGCAAAATCAACGGATTTCAATTGCATTAACCACTAAAAGACATCAAAACAAACTAAGACGG